CGGGACCTATAAATTCATTAGACGGGCTCTGCTCTCAATGGACAAGTTTGGTCATCCACACCAAATATTGAGTTGTTATGTGTAATAAAGATAAAAATCACTTCTTACACCATTTTTTACACCACTTTTTGCATGTTCAACAAAGTCAATTCAGCCCACAGAATTTTCAAAGTTAGCATTTGATTGAAAAAATCAAACTCATAAAGCTAAATAATATAGATTCTCCAACGAGGCATCAAAAGTAGAAGTCTTGCTTTGAAATGGGTGATCATAATTACATTGAAAAGGAAAAAAGAAAGAACAATAGGAGTCCAAGGTCTATCAACTCACATTTGATTGATTTATTTATTTACTTGTGACGGAGCTAGAAATGATGGGTTAGAACTGCAATTTAAAGAATTTATTTTATGAAATTTATTTTATGGGAGTTAAAACTCTAAATTTCACCCTATTTTTTTACTGCCTATAGATCTTATGCGCGCACACACACATGTGTGTATAATTAGGTTCAAGTCAGAAATGATCTCAAGAGAGAAATGAGAATGAATTTGAACCGTTAGATTGTATTATGTGAAATTCAATGCGCATCAGATGAAACCAAAATGTGAAGCACGCAGATGAAATTGAAATGTGCAACTCAAAAAGTATGATACAATGACATTATGTGAAGTTGAATTATGCATGGGGTGAAACTAAAATGTGCAAAGTAAAAAATATGATATGATGTCATTTTTGTACCTTTTATTCTGCACATTTCAATTTCATCTAATGCACATTTGAGTTTTACGGAGTATCTTTTATTGAGCACATTTCGATTCCATCAAATGCACATTTCAACTTTACTAAATGCATAATTCAATTTCATATAATACAATCCAACGATCTATATTTATTCTCATTTCTCTCATGAGAGTCCTTTACCACTGGAACCGCTCCGTACACACACATACGGAGTATATCACAATTTTTTGTGGGGCTGAGAGCCACTCCCGCCTCCCCTTATCTCCAAAGTGAGTCTTTGAGTCATTTCATTATCTTTAATAATTATGCATGTACTATTGACGTTGCCGCATGTAACGTGTATGGTATAAGAAAACTGCATATAATCTGAACTTCAATTAAAGCATTTAAAGTGCCAGGTCGAGAGAAACTAAGATTATGCATCATCCACCCCACTCGACTTCAAAGTTCAAAAGCTGTTTACCGAGGAAACAATTAGTAATTTAATTTATTTAGAGCACATTTTGGTGAATGTAAATGTAAATGCTCCCGAGTTTAAAGATGTTTTTACTTGTAATGCATTTTTCTGATCTAGTCTAATATGGTTTGTTCTAATCTGATTTGTCTTGTGTTTGAGATCGGTTCGGTTCTGATTAAAATTTGATGGAATCGTATTAAAAATTGTAGGCATTAAATTCGGTTTGGTTGTATTAAAAAAATGTACTTCGTAGTTGTTAAATTTGGTTAGGTTCTAGTTAAATTCGGTTCGGTTCCATTCTTACTTTTTTCGGTTCCTTATAAAAAATTATTATCCTCCTAAAATGAACACATTTTCTTTCGGTTACATAAAAAAAATCAAATTTCAAATTATGAAAACAATTGTCGAAGTTATGACCATTACATTATACATGATATCTCAATGTTTAAATATCACAAAAATATTCAAGCACAAACATTAAATTTATTAAACATAAAGATTTAAAATAGACAACAACTGTCAAGCAAAAAAGATTAATAGCTCCAAGATACACATCCAATAGCAGGTAGTTCAACCCCAAAATAATATTCTTATACGAGTATTTCACCATATGTAAAAAGTACCACACATGTAGTAATAAACTGACTGGTAATATTAGTATTTACTACGAACAAATAACAACGTAATCAAGAACAACATTAATTCCCTTTTTAGGTGAACTCAAACGACAAATACAATTACAAACAAAAAATAAATATAAAAGTGAACTAAAGTACTAATATAACAACTCTTCATATTGGTTTGGTCCACAATATATAAGGTATATTATGCATAACGGATAGTATATCCGGGGGATGCCATTGAAGGGTATCTAAAGAGTAGTCAGAACAAGTAAAAGAGAGAGAGTAGGTGTATTATAAATGAACTCGAGATTCGGATCCTTTACAATGAAGAAGAGGCTAGCTATTTATAGCTGCCATAAATGCGATGTGAATAATGCAAGTACATGTGTTAAGTAACCAGCGGTGGAGAGTCAACTCAGCTAGGCATAACATGTGGCACCAGTATAGCATGTGGCACCGGTATAGCATGTGGCACCGCATTTAATGCGGTGGTTGGACGTGACACCACATTTAATGCGGTGATTCAAAGCATGTGAAGAGGAGATCCTGTCGAGGAGAGTGTCCTCGGCTATATGCACCCAGGGACTGCATGTGCCAAAGGCCATGTTGCCATGTATGAGTCGAAGGCCGCCTGTGTCGAAGGTCGTTCGTACCCAGGGGCCATTTGGGCCTTGGTGGCGTGCTGGGGACGTACGTCCCCTGAACTAGGAGGAAAGTGTCTAAAGTTGCCCTAAGTTCTTAGAGACGTCCGCATTGCATTGGCTTCCTTGGCATGGTTTCCCGCCAATGGGTGGCGACGATCGTCCCCAAGCATTGGCTGCTGGTGTCTCGTGATGTGCTGGAGGACGTACGTAGCTGGGGAGGACCTCATGTGCTGAAGGACGTACGTCCCCTGGGGCCGTACGTAGATGAGGAGGACTTCATGTGCAGGAAGACGTACGTAGCTGGGGAGGACCTCATATGCTGAAGGACGTACGTCCCCTGGGGCCGTACGTAACTGAGGAGGACTTCATGCGCTAGAGGACGTATGTTCCCAGAGGGCCGTCATGTGGTGAAGGACGTACGTCCCCAAAGAAACGTCACGTGGTGAAGGACGTACGTCCCCAAAGGGCCGTCATGTGGTGAAGGACGTACGTCCCCGGTGATGTTCCTGGACCAAGTGAGACGTACGTACGTTTCTGGACGTGCATACCCTTTGTAGTATGGGCTGTCCGGAGTCCGGTTTGCTTTGTTTGGGCCACTTGAGCCTGTTGGGCCTGATTGTGGTAGTGGAAGTATGTGGGCCGGGGGTACCTGGGCCATATACTCCATCAGTGCAAGACAAATATTCCTGACAAGAATTTCCTGACTGGAATGCCGTCTTTCGACCTCTATTTAAGGTGCTTCTAGGTAGAATTTTTTGATGAGATTTTGTCAGCTTACAATTCAATCGAGGAGTGAGCTAAATAAATTATTTAAAAATATTGCGTTGTATATATATATATATATATATATATATATATGTGTGTGTGTGTGTGTGTGTGTGTGTGTGTGTGTATATATATATATATATATATATATATATATATATATATATATATATATTGGCGTAATGTTTTTCAATATTTTATTTGACTGACCTTCATATTGAAGTTAAGATGAAATTTGGTGAACATAATCTATACTTCATGACAAACAAGCTCATAAAATTTCATCAAAAAACTCATCCTAGAAGCACCACAAATGAAGATTACGCATGCAATGTATAAGAAGTTTTGTTCCTGCATTGGAACCGAAACGATCAAATACTATAGAAACCAAACAAAAAAAACATAAGTCCAAAATAATAGGAACTGAACCAAACTGGATAATTCGATTCGATTCAGATTTTATTTCCGATTTTACGGTTCCATGTCCTAGACTCGAGTTGTTCTAAGTAGGTGAATGCTAATGATGTTTTTACTTGGACCGTAATTTGTTGGTCTGCTCTGGTCTGTTTGTTTAAGTCTGGCTGGTCTGTTTAAGTTTGGTCTGATCTGATAAACGTCCGATCTATATATATTTTATAACTACGGAAGTCAAATCCGATCTGTTTTGATCTGTTTAAGTTTGATTTATCTAAGCCTGGTTTATTTAAGTTTATCTTGTCTAATATGAGACTGAAAAAGATTTATCCTAATACCAACGTACTAAAATCATGGTGTCACCCGTCAAGCAAGGGGTAAATGCTAATTAAAGCTGAGTGGTTGTATTTTTTAGTTGAAGTTGTTTACATGATACCTCGTACTTTTTTAATTATGGCTTTGAAATACGTATATTTAGCTCATTTTTCCATTATAATTTTGTCCTACAACACTTCCAAAATCCAACTCAATTCCAATTAGGATGGACCATGGACCATCTAGTGAAGATACAGCTCCCTTCATTATTGCAATCTAAAATTAGTGAGGTAATGGCATCCGTGAATTTTGGGTCCATCCCTGGCTGAATAATTTATGGTAATAGAGGGCCGCTCCTAAGAGATTGGAATCATCCAATCCCCCAAACACTACCACATAACTTAGCTTCAAATCAAAATATTAAAAGCTCTCATAACACTAAAATTAATTAAATCTGTTAAAATTAAAGGAATTTCGATTCAAATAACTATATTAGATGAATGCATATACACATTCATATATACACACATAGTGGAGTGGGGCCACACAAATAGCGCTATCCCTAAAACTATGAGCCCGTTTGGTAGCACGAAAATCGGCTGATTTTACCGATTCTGCTGAAATTTATGTAATTCTGGCTGAAGTGGTTGCATTGGTTGATTCTGCTGATTTAAGAAAAAAATAATTTTAAAATATACTTATCAATAAAATAAAGAAAAAATTATATGTAAAAATAGCTAAAATGTTTATCTACAGTAACTTCAGCCAATGCAGCCAGAAAAGTAACTTCAACCTTACTTTTTCTGCTTATTACACAATTCAGCGCACGAAAGCAAAAATTACATGTTTGGTGAAAAAGTTGGTTAATAAGCCTGATAAGCCGAAAAACAGTGTTGCCAAACAGCCTCTATGTATTTTTCTCGCCGCTTAAAGAAACTTTTTTATTTCATAAAAAATAATCTATTTAGAAATTGCTTATAGAGAAAATCCAAATTAATTTTTCAGGTTTATTCTACGAGAATCAAAATCCTTCTTGAAATTTATCAATCCAAAATCCAAAACATGAAATTTATGAGTATAAAATCCGATTGACATGGTAAAAGAGGAAAACAAATTACGTATATTCCATAATACGGAGTACAAAAAAGAAAGCTCCTATTAAAACAACCATATGTGACCATTTACATTGTTGTAATCATTATCAAGTTTGATTCCTCATTAGCCTTCCACCATTAACGTCACCAATAACAACAGCTACTTAACTACATTTTGTGGATTTTCTGGATTATCTTTTTCAGAATTTGACCCCTTGATTATCCCATATTTCATTAGTAACCCCACGCTCCAATCCCACAGGTGTAGAACAATGAAAGTCCCAATCCCGCCAATCAAACCGTACGCAATGGAGTAAGTCAACGGCATCAACGCAAAAGTCACAAACGCCGGAATCGCCTCCCGCATGTCATCCCAGTCGATTTCCGTCACCGCCCTCATCATAAACACACCCACCAGTATCAACGGCGGTCCCACCGCCCACGGCGGGATCGACGCCAACAGCGGCGTGAAGAAGAAGGCAAGGAGGAAGTACCCCGCCGCAGTCAACGCCGTCAACCCTGTCCGCCCGCCTTCCCTTATACCCGTGGAAGATTCCAAGTACGCCGTCACCGGCGAAGTCCCGAGCAAGGACCCGATTACTGTCGCCGATGCGTCGGAAATGAACGCAAAGTACTGGCCCTCAAAATCGCCGTTTGCGTCTGTGAAGCCGGCGAAACGCGCCATCGAATACATGGTACCGGTGGTGTCGAGTATATCGACGTAGAGGAAAGTGACCAGAGCTTCCCAGAAGTGCCCTTTCCCGATGCTCTTGAAGCTCAGAGCTCCGGCGGTGCTTTTAATTTTGTGGATATCGACGACTTTCTTGAAGTACCGGTAAGCAGAGTCGCCGGTGGGAGTGCTGGGGAAGGCGGTGACTTTTGTGTTACGGAACCACGAAACGGCGGTGACAAAGATGACGCCGTAAATCATAGCGCCCTTTATCTTTTTGACCAAACAATAAGCGATAATTACAAACCCAACCATTCCGAGCCAAAACGTCGGGCTCTCCATACGGCCATTCAAGCAGAGGATATCCCCAGAGACCGCGCCGCCGGGAATTAAAGAAACGGTACCGTTTGCGTCGGTTGTAACTTGGGCCAACGCCGCACGTGCGGAGCGTGGGCAGGCTCCAAGTGTCACGAGCGTGGAAGTGCTGAGGCTAATAAGGCCCAGCCCTTGATTGTTCTGTAGCCCAATAAAGGCTAAGAAAAGCCCAATCCCAGCTGATGATGAGATTCTTACAGGTCTGGGAATCATCTTCGCGAGCCAGGCGCGTACACCAAACGCGGAAATCGAAAGGAATATCAGCCCTTCGATGAAAACTGCCGCCAACGCGCTCTGATACGGCAAGTTGCCAGAGCCGTGGAAGCCCACAACGGTATACGCGAAATACGCGTTGGCTCCCATCCCGGGAGCTAAAGCCAGGGGTAAATTCGCGAAAATACCCATAACCACGCAACCGATCAACGATGACGCGACGGTGGCGACGATCAGATCCTTCCGCGTCTTCTCGAGACAGGCGGCGTAGCCGGGATTGACAGGGTTGAATTTGCAGGAGTCGTCGGGGGGGATAACTCTGGCGCATTTGGAGAGGGGAACGGCGGGGTCGGAGCAGAGAGGGACGCAGTCGGAGACGGAACAGGTGCCGCCGGAGTCTGTGAGGATGGAGGCGTTCACGGCGAGGATGTAGGCCATGGTGAGGAAAGTGGCGGTGCCGGCGCGTAGCTCAGTTGTGAAGCTGGTGTTGCGTTCCGTGAGCTTGAATCGATTGCCAATCCGGCCGCTTGCGACGGAGGCGTTGAGGCGACTCACCCATGATGTACTAGTTCTGGAAGCCGTAGCTTCCTCCGTACGCGGTGGCGGTGATGAACTGGCCGCCTCCAAGTCCATGGATTTAGTTAAACCAGTAAATTCATGCCTGAAATTAAACCATCCATATCGATATCATAGGGATGGAGTTGCAACAGATTCGTTCAGAATACTTCTTCTAGATTAACTGAGCGCGGTGGTGACTTTCCCTGTGGAAAAATCTCCATGCTTTCATCGGCAAACCACGACGAGATGAGCGGCGACTTCAAACTGGGCTGCAGCACAGCTGGAAGAAGAATAAATCTGGATAAAGAATTGTATTTAATTGAAAGATAAAGTGGGATTATTATTCTCATAAAAATGGAAGAGTGGAAGTGTTATAAGCAAACTAGAAAAAGGAACGGATTATTATAGTGTAGTATTTGGCAAATGGTTGACTAATTATGTTAGCTGATCGAAGTTTGTGTAATATTAACAGTTTATAAAATAGGGTTTAGTTAAATGTTTTTACATATACTCCGTACCTTAAAATTACATTGTCGGTTTGTGTAATAAACAAATAATTAACTCGGTGGATTTATTTATTTTTTGAAAAATACAGCCTCTCTCACTTGCACGCAGTGGCGGAATCAGGACTTGTGACTCGCAGGGGCACAATAACAAAGAAATGATATACTAGTCTAGAAAAAAATCATATGCATCACGAGTATAGCAATAAATAAAATTATAAAATTTAAATAAAACCACTGTTTTTGGAATGATCTGTTGCACCCATTTAAATCACTTTGTGGAAATTTAAAGTCACGCGGTTGGCAAAGACATTTTCTCAAATAACGTCTCATTAACTCATCTCTAATATTAACATCATAAGTCTCAATCGGCATAACTTTTCTGTCCAGCACTTTTCTGTCCGAACGCCGTCTGAACACCGGCGTTTGGGGCGGTTCCCGGCGGAATATTTTGATGAAAATTTTTGAGCATGTTCCTCATCAAGTCTAGTTTATCCATACCAAACTTCAGCTAAAAATTCGATCGGGAAGACAGACAAATAATTCGTTGAAGTTAACTGCGCCAAATTATACATAGAAAAACGCAGTTAACTTCAACGAATTATTTGACTGCCTTCCCGATCGAATTTTGACCTGAAATTTGGTATGGATAAACTAGACTTGATGAGTAACATGCTCAAAATATATCATCAAAATATTCCACCTGAAACCGCCCCAAACGGCGGTGTTCGGACGGCGTTCGGATCGGGAGGTGATGGACCTGAGAATTTTCCAATATATATATATATATATATAGGGGTGAGATCACATACAAACCATGCTTAACTTACTAAACTACAAACTCAATAATATGCAACACTTTGAACTTCAATATGCAGTACAAATAATGTAAAGATGCACTCTTTGAATTTCAATCCGCAATACAAATAATGTAAATATGAAACTGCTATTTCATGGCTTGAATAATATGAAACATTTTGAACTTCAATGTGTAATACAAATAATGTAAAGATGATTTGAATGGGAGGACTAGTATGTATGTCCTCCCCCCTGCATCTTTACATTATTTTTACTGCATATTGAAGTTTAAAGTGATGCATATTATTGAGTTTGTAGGTTAGTATTTTAAGCATGGTTTGTATTTGATCTCTTATCTATATATATATATATATATATATATATATATATATATATATATATATATATATATATATATATATATATATATATATATATATATATATATATATGGGTGATTTCACATACAAACCATGCTTAATTTACTAACCTACAAACTCAATAATATGCAACACTTTGAACTTGAATATGCAGTACAAATAATGTAAAGATGCACTCTTTGAATTTCAATATGCAATACAAATAATGTAAATATGAAATTGTTATTTTATGGCTTGAATAATATGAAACACTTTGAACTTCAATGTGCAATACAAGTAATATAAAGATGAATAGAATGGGAGGACTAGTTTGTATATGATCTCACCCCTGCATCTTTACATTATTTTTACTGCATATTGAAGTTCAAAGTGATGCATATTATTGAGTTTGTAGGTTAGTATTTTAAGCATGGTTTGTATTTGATCTCTTATGTATATCACCGCAGGGGCACGGGCACCCCCTAGCCCTAGAGTGGGTCCGCCCCTGCTTGCACGTCTTATATAAAACCGACATGAAAGAGTGAAAACTAAAAGACGTGAAAAGCTCATTCTCCAATATTGCCGATGGTTTTTTTCTACGGTGGAAACGAGTAGCAGAGAGATTAGCCATAGATACGAAAAAAGGCGTTGTCGAAGGGAAGTCTAGGAGACCGTTTGGTAGCACGAAAATCGGCTGTTTTGGCTGATTCTGCTGAAATTTATGAAGTTCTGGCTGAAGTGGCTGCATTGGCTGATTCTGCTGATTTAAGGAAAAAAATATTTTTAAAATATATTTTATTAATAAAATAAAGAAAAAATTATATGTAAAAATAGCTAAAATGGTCATCTACATTAACTTCAGCCAATACAGCCAGAAAAGTAACTTCAACCTTACTTTTTCTGATTATTGCACAATTCAGCGCGTGATAGCAAAAATTACGCGTTTGGTGAAAAAGTTGGCTGATAATGCAGATAAGCCGAGAAACAGTGTTACTAAACGGCCTCTAGGAATACAGGAAAGATATAGAAAAAGTCAATCCCAAAGGCTATGATTAATGGGGTTTCATATTTTTGCTATTTGGGATAAAAAAATCAAATGAAAAATTAGAATAACCAAAAATCCTTGTTAGCTATTTATCCGGTTAAAAAGTTAAATATTAGTCAAACTAGCTAAAAAGTGACTCGTAGGCTCTTAATCAAACACCCCAATAGGCTTAATGTTTTTGAAATGTGATACTATTATTAGCACCCAAAAATGAAGTTCTAGACTACTATCAAAGCAAGTAACCAACTCTGTTTAATTTTTATGTGTGATTTTATATATCGATTTAATGTAGGAAAATTCACACTATTAATCTCAATTGTTGAGGGTCTTCTTATATTAATACCAACTACTAGTAATTCCAATATAATCTAAATTATAATGTGTGAGAATAATGGAACCCAGGATGCTCTTTGAGGAACTCTGACAGATATATTTATAATAAGGAGAGTTTAATGTAAAGTACAATATTGATCCTATAATAATTCTATTACACCCCTCAAGCTGTGCGGGAGAAACAACGCGCAGGTTGTCCTTCAAAAAATGAAAACGCTGAGTAGGAAGACTTTTAGTAAATATATCTGTCAACTGTAAATGAGTAGGAATATGTTTAACAATCAGATCTCCATGAGCCACACGTTCACGAACAAAGTGATAGTCTATCTGGATGTGTTTACTTCAGGCATGCTGAATAGGGTTTGCAGTCAGATAGGATGCGGAAACATTATCACATAAGAGATGTACAGGTTCCGTGATTGGGTACCCGAGCTCAAACAAAATAGAACGAATGTGAAGTATATCATGGACAGTGTAAGCAATGGCACGGTACTCAGCTTCTGTAGATGACTTGGACACCGTAGGTTGCTTTTTGGACTTCCAAGAAACCAAATTAGGGCCCAAAAATACCGCAAAACCTGTGGTAGACCGAGAACTATCTGGACAACCAGCCCAATCAGCATCAGAATATGCAAGAACACATGTGGGCCGGTTAGTTTGCTGATGCCATAATCCATGATCTCGTGTGCCCTGCAAATACCTGAAAATTCTCTTGACTGCAAACAAATGAGTAGTACGAGGGGCATGCATGAATTGAGACACTAAGTGTACTGCATAAGTAATATCTGGCCGTGTCAAAGTTAAATATTGTAACGCATCAACTATGCTGCGATACTCAGTAGAGTCTGAAAGTAACTCACCATCAGATAGAGATAGAGTGGTACGGGAAGCTAACGGGGTGCGAGCAGGTTTAACTGTATGGAGATGAAATCTGGCAAGAAGATCAAAAACATACTTGTTTTGAGAAAGAAACAAACCTTTAGAGAGGTGAGTAGCCTCTACGCCCAAGAAATAATGGAGATTGCTCAGATCCTTCATAGCAAAGTGATTAGAAATAATGGAAATAAACTGGGTAATGGTAGACTCAGAATTGTTAGTAATAATAATATCATCTACATATAGTAATAAATAAATAATAGTAGTATTCTGACGATAAATGAATAAAGAATTATCAGACTTGCTACAGACAAAATTATATTGCAAGAGAAAGCTACTAAATCTATGAAACCATGCATGTGGTGCTTGTTTAAGTCCATAAATGGCCTTACGCAAGCGACATATATGATTAGGAAATTGAGGATGAGTGAAACCACGGGGCTGACGCATATAAACCTCTTCGGTTAGATGACCATGTAAGAAGGCATTTTTAACATCAAGTTGTCGAATGACCCAACCAAAAGAGACAGCCAGAGTAAGAAAAACACGAACTATGGTAGGTTTAATTACAGGACTAAAGGTTTCAGAAAAGTCAATACATGTCTGTTGATTAAATCCTTGAGCTACTAATCGAGCTTTATGACGTTCCACAGACCCATCAGAATGGTATTTTGTTTTATAGATCCACTTACAACCAACTATATTCTTAGTATTGTCAAAGGGCACCATTTCCAAAGTATGATTATTAATGAGCGCATTAAATTCATCAGCCATCGCTTCCCGCCATTATAAGTGTTTATTTGCCTCAGTAAAACAGGTAGGATCTGCAGGATTAACAACTGTACTCAAAGTAAAAGTTGTTTTGAGTTTAAAAATACCTGTTTTTGCTCGGGTTTGCATGGGATGATTATTTACTACTGTAGTGGGCACACCCGAAGTAGATAAGGGGGAAGTGGTCTCGGTCTGATGGGAAGAAGAGTCAAGAAGGTCTGGTGTTGTCCTATCGGCCGAGCTAAGAGATGATGAGGACGAATGGGTCGAAGGGGTGGAACATGGCGTCGGGTTGGGTGACTGTGAAGCAGACATGCGAGGGCTCGAATATAGGGGAGGTGTAGCAGACGGCGGTTTTGGTGGGTCACGAACGGATGATGGTTGGGCATTGGTTTGAGGTGTGATATGTGTGAGATGCATGGGGAAAGGGGTGGAGGAGATTGGTGGAGGAGTTCGGGTTTGCTTGAGTGACTTAAAAGGGTAAGTATCCTCATCAAACCTAATATGACGAGTGATATAAATATGACCTGTATTAGGATCGAAACAGCAATAGCCCTTATATCCGGATGCATAGCCAAGAAAAACATATTGAACAGAGCGGGGTGACAGTTTGTTAGCCGAAGTGGCCGAAAAAATTGGATAGCAGGCAGAGCCAAAAACGCGCATTAAAGAATAGTCCGGAATACGTTGAAAAAGTTTTTGGTATGCAGATGTAAAAATTGCATCAACCCAAAACTGAA